TATATATATATATATATATATATATATAGTAGGTAATTTCTTAATATTGATGAAAAATAACCAGTTCCAGTTACAGATCGTCACACGTACAACAAGACATTTTTCCCATTTTAAAAGTTAAATAATGTTTCAACAGAACTGTCACTTTTTATAAATCAATATTATGGAATTATTGACTCAGAATAAACTCCTAGTCTTGCCAAAACGTTACTTGTAAGTTATTTTTGTCTTATTTTAAGTCCATTACAAACTAGAAAAAAATACTTGGTGGGTTTGTTGATTGTAATCAAACAGAAAAGTACAATTCCTTCATTTTTAAGAGCACTAACTCGTTTTTATTGAGTCTTTTTCCACTTTAAGTCAGTCACATCATTCCGTTTCCAGAATGCTGATCCTCTGGTTCTCGTTTTGTTTCCTGTGCAGCAATACTTCCATGCAGGCGGGAACGGCTTGAAGAAAGCCTTCCTGGAGAAGAGCGCTGAGCTTTCGTCGCTCCGCCACGCTCTGTCTCTCTACACCCAGACCACCGACACGCTCATCAAAACCTTTGTGACCACGCAGCATTCACAAGGTAGATCCAACACGCCTTGAAGGAGCTTCGATACGGGAGCGTTTCAGATTCCTCGCTGCTTTTATCTCCTGGACTTGGTTGTTTAAGTTGCTGTCTTGTTTTTATCCCCTGCTGCCTCTGTGCCAGTGCACAATGGGAAGGGTATTAGGTTAACTCCTAATGAGAAAGTCCAGCCCAGCAGGGGTAGGTCTCCATGAAATCACCATCAGCCCAACTTCCCTTCATCGTTTTGTCTTCTTTTGTTTCGTGAAACTTGTGTTTCTGTCGCATGACTATATGAAAGTGTTTTTATTGCCTCCATTGGACCAAATGTTCCTGTTCCTGTTGCACCAGGCTCCGGAGTGGACAAACCCATCGGAGAGGTTTCCCTGCAGATTGAGCTCTACACTCATCCGAAGAGCGGAGAGCGGAAAGTTACACTCAAAGGTCCGATGGGATGGTTTTCAGCCAATCAAATCAAAGTTGGAGCATTTGAAAGTAATTTTAGTTTAAGTATTTGTGTCCATACGTGTTCATGCAGTGATTGGAGCCAGCGATCTGAAGTGGCAGACGTCTGGGATGTTCAGACCCTTCGTGGAGGTCACACTGATCGGGCCGCACCTGAGCGACAAGAAGCGCAGATTTCAGACCAAATCCAAGAACAACAGCTGGTCTCCCAAATACAACGAGACCTTTCACTTGTAAGTTCAAAGAAAGGAAAACATTTAAATTATTCTATGTATGTTTGTTCTATAAAACAAAGTCCATGTGACTATATCAGTGTTGGGCACTAACTAACGCACTTATAGCGGAGCCAACTTTTTGTTTGGGGTTTCTTGCTAACTTTGCAAACTTTTAGTGGACTTAAATTTCCCCAAAATAATTTTTCTTTCCAATAAATTCAGGCTTTATTCGGGGGAGTTCCTTTAGCAGAAGCTAAGTGCACCAATAGATTTTAACGTTAGCATAAAGCTAGAACGGTAGCAGATTAGCGGAAGCTAAGTGCACCAATAGATTTTAACGTTAGCATAAAGCTAGAACGGTAGCAGATTAGCGGAAGCTAAGTGCACCAATAGATTTTAACGTTAGCATAAAGCTAGAACGGTAGCAGATTAGCGGAAGCGTTTCTTCCACTTTATTCAACTGAAAGTTTATAAAACAGTAAAAGTAAATCTGAGCTTTAGAATTTAAGTGGAAAACTAATTTAAGGGAATCTAAATGTGCTGAACAAAAACTAGCTCCACTATTAGCATATTAGTAGATTAGAGAAAGTGTAGCCTACCAAATGAAAATTTATGACAAAGTAAAATAGCGCTTTTGATTTTAAATGGAAAATTAATTTAGCGAAAGCTAAGTTCGCTAAGGTTTTCAAAGTTATCAAAAAAAAAAGCACAAAATGGAAAATGATCTCTGCTATTAGCGCATTAGCACAGGAAACTGGACGTTAACGTCGTGTTCTGGTCTCGGTCTGCAGCGTTCTGGGCATCCAGGACGGCTTCGAGTGCTACGAGGTCCAAGCCTGCGTGAAGGACTACTGCTTCGGCCGCGCCGACCGGGTGGTGGGCCTGGCCGTGGTGCAGCTCAGGGACATCATGGAGAGGGGCAACTGCGCCTGCTGGTGCCCCCTGGGGCAGCGCATCTCCATGGACGACACGGGCCTGACCGCCATGCGGATCCTCTCCCAGCGCTCCAACGACGACGTCGCCAAGGAGTTCGTCCGGCTCAAGTCTGAAACCCGATCAGTGGAGGAGGGAAGATGAGACTCTGCTTGTTCCAGTGGGTCTGCTGTGACCTTTGACCTGCTGTGGAAAGCCTCACCAGCTCCCAGTGTTCTTCAGCTTCACATGTTTAACCGTTTAAACTCTCATCCGGCTCTGCTGAGGAGACAGAACCCATCCAGAACCGGTCAAAGTGCCGAATAAGAACCCACCCACCCCAAGTGTTCTTGTGCAATAAATCCAACCCACCCGTCCCAAAGTGAGGCCAAGAGGGTCAAGCCTTACACTCTGCAAGCTGTGAATGTGTGTGTTCATGTAAAAGGAAAGAAATCCTGTTTTTAATGACTGGAAGTCAAATATTTATCTTCACTTAGCAGAAAAATCACCGTTTAGTTTTAGTTTTCTAGTTTAGCAGGTACATCTGGGCCTGCAGAAACATTTTATCCTCATTTTCAAATGGAAAATGTTCGGATTTAACTCAAAGCTTCATTTCATCCTCCGTCTGGAGGCCATTTTTATTTTTCTCCGTTTCCTGTACGCTGTGGCCATTTTATTTTTTAAGTATATTTATTTCCCTCTTAAAGTTGGATTTGATGTGATTTCTGCTCCATTTTTCAGTTTTCTGGGTTTTGTTACAAACTGAGTTTACATTTCTCTCCGTTTTTTGTTTTTCCTTCTGCTCTTCATACGAGTGGCCTTAATTATAAAAAAGATTTACTTTTTGTTGTTTAATCTTTTCCCTTGTGAAATTATGATTTGCATTTTATTTCCCCAGATTGATGTCAAATTGCTGAATTCCTTAATATTTTGTATTTTTCATTGTAATTTAATGTAAGCTGGTTTTTGTGGGAATCTGTTGTGCTGAGTATCAAATCTAATATTTCTTTTGTTACCAGTTCTTTATATTTTCTGTAGACAAAGTGATTTATTTTGACGTCATTTTGTCCCAGCAGCCTTTAAATGGAGCCACAGATCCAGCCTCCTCTTCCTCCTCTTCCTCACCTTCTCTGTTTTTGTTGATGGGAGCAAATATTCCCCACATCCTGGAGAAACACACTTTCCTCGTGCCAAGTTTTGTTTTCACTTTAGTTTTTTTTATTTTGCACATTTTTTACCTTTCAAACTATAAAATCACTGCATTTCTCTGGAGTTTTCATTTTAATGTCACATTAAATCTGTTTCACTGTCGGCTTCACACTGACAACATTTCTGCATAAAGTATTAAGACGTATGTGTCTTTTTTTTCTCGCACTACAGAATAAAGTCATTTTCACAGTGAATATCTTGATGAGCTTGAATTTCCGCCCTGAGGGAGCGGCCATCTTGTTTATTCATGATTGGTTGCACCATAATGTGGCCATAACTACCTTTTTTATTGGTTTTATGTAAACATGCAAACAATTTATTAGCTTCCAAACAATTGTTTATTAGATAAATTGTTCAATTAGATTAATAAAGTTTGCTTAAACCTTCTTTTAGTGTTTAGGAGCCGTTAATACAAGATGGCAGCTGAAAGAGGCCAAAGGATGGTCAGCCTTAGGGACAGTCTGGGGTCTCCATTCATGGTTTGAACTATTGGCATCAATTTACTGGAGATTAATAAAACGTGGAGTTTTCTGTGCATTTGTGCCATAAAGTGATTGGGAAGTAAAAACCAGATTTAATAGAACTCAATAAAAAATGACTAAATATGAGGCTTTGAAAAATAAAATGTAAAAATTAAATGCTTGTTGCATCCTAGAAGTATTTTATTTGAATTACTATTTTAAATCTATGGATAAAACACTTCATTATTTTATTTGCCCAGTTTTTGTTATACAATCTGAGTTGCATCACAATGCTTTCAAATCGCCGCTGCTTTTCGGCAACGAGTTAAAAGCAAAAATAGAGACAGCATCTAATGTTAATGTTTGCTAATTTTATTGTTACTATTGTTAATTATAAATAATGATGTCGCCCTGCAGCTGCTGCCAGTACAACTCCTGCTCCACCTCACTCAGACCCATCAACCTGGAAGGTCAGAAGTTTCATCCAGCCTGTAACTCAACATTAATCCTGTCTTTATGTAGGAACATTTAAATTTTACCCAAATATAGTAGTATATGTCAGGTCATTTTCTAAACTGTGCAGCTTCTCCACTTGGAAAGGGATGGATGCAGACTTTCAACAGGTTTTACTCAAAGGACCAAGCAGTTGTATTCATTTTATCCTCTATTTATTTATTATATTTATGTATTTATTATATTTATTATTTATTATGTGTCAGGACATTTTCACAATTGGTCCAGAAGCAGGTAAAAACCTTTAAACAAACCCAAAACGAGAAAAATAATTACTAATCTGCAAGTTTACATGAATTCAATTCACTCAAACTACAAAAGGAATTAATAAACTATATAAATAATAAAAGCAAACCACTGTGAATAAAACCCGCAAAGTAATTAATTTAACAACTTAAATTAAGTTTAGTTATTTAAAGTACATTTCAAATTAATATTTACATTTATTTAAATATACAAATATCTCCTTTTCAATCTTGGTCACAAATATTTACTTTATAAATATAAATAGCTTCAATCTTCTTAATCTAATGCTAAATTAATTAACAGTTGAATTTACCACCCAAATCCACTATTCAACAATACAACAATCAGTTCGATCATAAAAATCAATCGATCAGCTCCAGTTCCACCGCTTCAGTTCAGGCGTCGCTGCAGGAGGAACGAGGGGAACCGAACATTCCTGATTCCTCACTGCCGGGAAACTATGGACCCATTTTGAAACTTCCCTTCATGTTGAAGATCCGTGAGAAGGTTAAAGCACAACAACTGGACTCTTTTTCAGAGGAAAATGACCTTATGGACTTTTTTCAGTCTGGTTTTCACAGACCACAGAAACAGCATTACTAAAAGCTTCTAGTGACGTGTTGATGGCAGCTGATTCTGGAAACTATCCAGTGTTTGTTGTTCTGATTCCGACACTGTGGACCTCACTGTTCTTATCAACAGACTAACAGATCTTTTTGGTATTTCTGGCACTGTTTTAAACTGGTTTACTTCTTATTTATCTGAAAGGTCTTTTACGGTTTTATGAATAATGTTCACTCTGATGCTGTCATGGTTCCCAAGGTTAATTTTTAGGCCCACTCTTCTCTTCATTGTACTTTGGCTCTTTAGGTTTTATTTTAAATTGTTACAGTAATGTCTCATACCAAGTGAATGCTGACAATATTCAAATATACAGTTTGTTCTGGTCTTCTGAATAAACTTCCTGTCTGACATCAAAATATGGCTCAATGACTTTCAGTTCAATGCTGAGACACTTATTGTTGCTCCTAATGATAAAATTGCTGAAATCAGGAAGCATATTAGGTTTTTAAACCTTTCAGAAAAACACAGTTTTCAAAATGTGGGTGTTCTCCTCAACAGTTGTCTTTGGACAATCATTGCAAACTGTCAGTTTGCAATGATTTTTACCTTTGAAGGAATACTTTGAAGCTGCGAGCTATTTTATCATTGAAGGAACTGGAAATGGTGGTCCATGTTTTTATTTCTTCTACTGTAACAGACTTTTAGTGGGTCTAAGTCAATGCTCCATGGCTTCCCTTCAGTCTGCACAAAGCACTGCAGCCAGGCTGTTAACTAAAACCCACAGAACAGCTCACGTAACTCCTGTTCTGGCCTCCTTGCTTTGGCTCCCGGTGTATTTTAGGACTCATTTTAAAATTTTGGTTTTCACTTTTAAGGCTCTTCATGGTGAGGCTCCCAAATATATATTTACCTTTTGATTTCTTGTGATTTTATTTTTTCTTGATATGGCTGTAATTGCTTGTTTTAGTTGTTGCATTACTTTATTTTTTTCCAGACATAATTTATAGTTTCTGGGATTTTATTGACCACCAGACAGGAATGCACCAGGGTTTTTTGTGTTTTGTTGGGGAGCAGGTAGGTGTTTATTTTCAGTATATACACTACATTTGAACTCTGGTTCGTGGGTTCATCCTGCCTCAGAAACCAGGGTAACACTGCAGAAAACCTCAGGGTTACTCTGGGATTTGCAGTGCTCGGTTTGTCCAGCAGATGGCAGTGATAGACCAGAGATCGTATGGCTCAGTTTAAGCGGAGCAGA